CTCAAATAAACCTTTATTCCCATTCCTCTTTGTGTCTTAAAGAAGCTGAGATTAAGGAACAGTAACTACCTCAATCAGGGTCACACAGTGACTAAAGTATGGACCTGAATATTTCTACCCAGATGTATCTGACTGCAAAGCTCAGACTCCTTGCTACTACGCCACCAGCATGTGTCTTAATTCTACAGATCTTGGTCAGATGTCTTGAATACCTAGGATCAACCCCCAGTACCACCAAAAGCAAAATTACTTTAAAAATTCAGAAGAACACAGGGTTTGGGGTGAGAAGGACATGCTGCAACTGTCTGGAGATGACAGAATCTGCTTTTTGCTCCCAAATCCCTCCCCTATTGCAAATTCCTCTAGGTATCTCTACCAGGAAGCTGGCATCCCTAGGCAGACACATCATGTCTTCTTAGCATCATGTGTGTGTGTGTGCATGCACACGTGTACAGTAGAAATGTACATGTACAGTAGAAATGTACATGTATATTAGAATACATGTACAGTAGAAATACTTCATCAAGGAAAGAGCATTTCCCATCACCCATACCCTGTCCATCTATAAATTCTCTAAATTCTACTTTGAAAATATGTTCCGTTTCTGTTGCATTCTTCTGTCTCCATTCTTCATCAGCAAGAGCCTCCTAAACGCCAAGTCCACCTTTGGCCCATTTAGTCCGGGCTTCCGCTGACACGTGGGTGAGATCACAGTGAGCTCCGCTGGAGAACCCCGTCCCTGCACATGCAGTCTGCACTTCCTTCCACACCAGCAAGACCCTGGGCTACTCCTCTCGGTGTCATCCAACCTCTGCTCCTACCCTTTCTCCCTTAGTCAAAGGCTTTGGCCCTGCAGGCTTCTTTCACTGTCAAAGCTGCCATACTCCTTCCTCCGCAGGGCCTTCGTCCAAGCTGGCCATGCTGCTCCAAACCCCTTCTCCCTTGTCTTTGATGTCTTCTCTTTACCCTTTGGTTCTCATCTCACCTCACCCTCAAAGAGACTTTCCCAGACCATCCTAAGCTAAGTGAGTGACTTACCACCAGGTGTTATTCTCGGTGTCTACAACCTATTCTTTTTCTATACAGGTCTAGCACAATTTTCAATTATATCTTGATTGATTTATTCACTCACTCAGCACAGTTATTAGGCCCATCTTATGTGCCAAGCACTGTGCTAGGAAATAAATCTGCAGCAAGGAACAAGACAGATAAAGTCCCTACTCTTATGAAATGATCATTCCAGGAAGAGGAGATTGACAGTAAGTGCATAAGTATATGTACAAAGTGGTAACCAAATAGTGACTTGCTGAGACCCAAGACAAGTGACAGAACAAAAGACTTGAGCTGTGGTTAGGAAGGGCTTCTCTGAAAATGTAGCACTTCAGCTGAAGCCTGGATAATAAGACTACTACTATGCGAACCTCAGAGCCAGGGCCAGCCTGGATGGAGGGACAGGAACAGCCAAGACAGAGGCCCCAGGCTAAATATACTAAGTATGTCCCAGTGCTGTAGGAGCAATGAGGATAACCTAAAAAGAAAGGAAATATGAAAAGGAAAGCTTGTCATTTTCCTGCAGTATCTGGATGAACAGTATTGGTGGTTTGAGCTAATGAGAGAGAGAGAGAAAGATGCCTATGTATATTTCAGGAGTAAAGCAGGCAGATCTCACAAATAGGAAGCAAGAAAGAAAAGAATTTGGAGCTGTTTATTTCATTTCCCCCACTGCATTGTGAGCATCACAAAGACAGGGACCGTACTGATTTTGTTATCTGATATAGGATGGACACTCAATGAATGTGGTTGCATGAAGTTATGAACAAAGAAGATATGGGAGACATGGCAAGGGAAGGTCAGGCAGGCATCACAGAAGCAGAAATACTCTTACAGAAATGATGGCAAACCTTTTAGATCTTTCAATGAAGCAGTCTGCTATAGCACACGTGCTATAGGTTCGCCACCACTTCCTTAGAGGGTTCCAAAAGATGAGCCAAGGTGTGGCAGGTAAGCAAGACAGGAAAGGAAGGAACAGCATTGCAGAGGAGGAAGAAATCACAAAATACACAAGGGTGTCATTGAAATACTTGATCTGCCCAAGGTAATTTGTCAGCTTTGTACCTGGGCTGGATTCTAGAGAAGCCAGAATGGAAAACACACTATTCTCTTTGTCTTACGCTAATACAAAGATAAATAATACAAACTCCAATGAAGGAAACAAGGAGAAAAAAATCTACATCCAGAAATTCAAGCCTAAAGACATATTGGTTACTGCAGAAGATAGAAAGCTGTCAGTGCAGCCCTTGAGGAAGTTTTTGGATCTCACTGAAGTCTAACATTTCCTCCCAACATCCAAAGCTCCCCTTGACTTTTTGATGCATGGCTCCATGCTGTCTTTGGGGGAGAGGCATTTGATCTAAAGGACACATTACAAAAAAACACCCTTATACATCCTCTGAAACAGACCCAGAGAGGATCTGAGGCAACCCAAGGACAAAAGATTCCCCCGGCGCAGATCGGTATATTCACTTAAGTCATTCCATACGAAGCTCGGCCATTTGAGGACATGACTGTACACACAGATGTCTCTTGGAAACAAGCACTTAATAGAATAGAAATTAAAATCTTATAGATTGAAGACACAGAAAGAGAAAAACAGTGACAACGAGGACAGATGGAGAAAAAAGGAGAGAACTGGATACTAAGAATAGGAATGAAAGAAGGAGATGTGAAAAAGAGAACACGAGCTAAACATCAAATACAGAGAAAGGGGGTGTACGATGCTGTTTGTCAAAGGGAAAGAAGGTAGATGTTTTTGTTCTTTTTAGGTTAATATGTAAATGACATTCTGATTTATTAGCGGTCTCCAGCAGATGAGGTGATGATTAGCACATTTCCATATTTATAGGAAAGCAACACTAACTTTCTGGATTTATAGAAAATCAGCTCTTCACAAATAGCAAATTGTGCTATTATCGACATATGGTTTTCTATAAACAGAGCTGAGGTAATTATCCCTGGGACAATTTGTCGGTGGGCTCCTTTTGAATATTAACCACACTGGAAGCCCATTTCTGCCTCACAGACTTTAAAGAGGAAGGGCCTGCACACGCCCCAAGCAATTAATTAGTAACCCAACATTGCAGCCTGAATGAAAGACAACCCTGAGACCACCAAGGGGAAACACAGGACCCAGGATCTGCGGCCAGATTCCAGCAGCACTGGGGAAAGTAATTCACCTGTCTGAGCAGCGTGAGCCCCTAACACCAACCTCCAAGAGTTGGCAAGAAAATTAAGTGAGAATTATTGATGTAATTGCACTTGAAACCTAGTAAAGTGTTCAACAAATGTTAATTCTTTTTCCTTTCTCCTATTTGTAATGATTCTAGAAAGACCAATTTGAACACATTTTCCAGCTCTTTTTAGACAATTCACCACAGTAAGTTATTTATTTTGTACTATGACGTAGCACCTGTACACAGGTTTGTATTTAACTGGAAACGTTTCCTGAAGTAATAACTTACTTTCAATGCCCAAAGTCCAGTTATTTTCTATTCTATTCTTTAGAGTTGCTCTTCCTCAAAATTTTGGTCCTGACCCATACCTTGATTTTGAGACCTGCTGTAGGATTGTGACCTACAGTTTTGAATACACCACGGCTATGTGTGAGTGGGAACCACAATCACATCCCGGCACAAACATGTCAGCTGCTCGGTACAGCACTTTGAATTACTTATTTTTTAAAAAGTAGATAGGCAGATGGATGAACTAATGAATGGCCTCAGCCTAGAATATAAGTTAATGCTCCCTGTTTCGTTCTGCATTCTAACTATGCACTAAGCTTTGTATCGAGGGCTGAAGCGATAGAAAGCAATGATATCTGCTTTCACATAGACAAGAAGAAAATATCAGTGTTTAGAAAATTGTTGCTTAAAGATCAAGCAACACTGAACACATACAAATGTGCTGAGGGGAAGGAGGGCTCATTCTGGGCCCTCTGGTGCACTCGTGGAAGAATCTTGAAACAGGGAATTTGAACTTGGCTTTACAGTGTGGGTAGCTCTGTCCACTGCCACTCTCTCATTGACTAGGTCCCTGGCTCTAAAACTCTAGCAAGCGTCAGAATTGCTGACAGGAGATTTCTGAGCTCATTCCAAGAATTTTCTATTCAGGTGGCTTTCAGGTGGGGCCCGAGAATCCATCTTTCTAACAAGTGGCCAGTTGGGACCCGTACTTTGAGGACCACTGTTCTAGTAGCTTAAGAGAGATCATGAAGGTTGTCAATGTCATTCTTCTTGGCCATTCAGCATGCTGGGCAACAAAGTGATGCTCTCAGTTCTGTGATGTAAAAAGAGTTGTCAGGTGTCAGTTGTTAAGAATAGCCTGGAAGCGCATTTAGGAGCCAATCAGTATGAAAGATGGACTCAAACCTATCACTGAAGGAGGACAGAAAGAGAAGAGGGGTAGATGGGAAAGAAAGAAGAGGCTCTAGAGATTACAGGGGCAAAGGAGAAGGGGGAATCTAAGATGTTTCTAAGTTTTTAGTTTCATTGACTGACTAAACGAAAGTTCCATCAACAAAGAACCTACATTTAGGGGATGTAACTGGTGGTACAGTGCTTGCCTGGCAGGCACGGAGCCCTAGGTTCAATGCCCAGTACTGAAGAAAAATTTTAAAAACTTACGTTTAAAATAAGCTTTCACATTTTAAATACCACAATCTCCAAAATTCTTTATTTTTAAAAAGGTAACTGTGGGGTAATAGGAACACATACTATGGGGAACAACCAGACAATTCTGAGTTCAAATCCTGTCCGTTATGCTTACTAGCAAGTCATTCCAATGAATATCACTTCTCTGCAAATAATAACACATGCCACCTTACAAAGTTGTCACGGAAACTAAATGAGATGGCCCAGGGCTCAGAATGAGGGCTTACCCAACTGTCAAGCATGCCTTGGCTTGTGTGTTGGCCCCGGTGTGCATGTAGCTTCTGCTCTACTTACCAAGACATTCTACTTGTGCTTTGTCGAGCAACAGGATGTATTCATAAGTGCCACCCATGGATCCAGACATCATCAGTGAACGTGGAGTAAGTGCCATAATTCTACTGTTCTGGAAACTCCACCGTGACTGCAGCATCCCTTCACCCAGTACAATCTTGTGCCTCATCTTAAAGTGAGCAGTCTGAATCTTTATGAAAATTCTCAGGAAGCCATATCTCTGCCAAGGGTGACCACATATATTTTATCACGTGAGACAGTGCAAAATGTTTAGTAGGCAAGAAGATCACATGAGCATAAATACATAAAGTGTTATTAGACTTTATAAGCATACACTGTACACCAGTGAGTGACTGAATTCTTCTCCCATGCCTCCATCTCTGTCCCCATTGTCCCAGCATGGATCAGGTTATCTTCCACTCATGTGTGGTTAGTCCCTGTAGTGACCTCTTCACTCTGCTGCCCACCTCTTTTCTGTCCCCAATCCATTCTCACCTCCACAGCTCCCCTAGCTTTATCAAAGCACTGCCCTCTGCAGCCTCCTCTGCAAATACTCTGTACCCATTACCAGCATGCTTAGAATGCTTCTGGTGTCATGATGAAATGTCATCTTATTTCATATGTTGAACAGATATCTATTGTTCCTATGGCTGCACTGTCTCTGCTGGGTGCAGAGGACATAATCTTCACCAGGTTAGGCCCTTTCCCTCACAGAGCTTGCTTTCTAGGTGTGATCTTTTTCTGTGAAGTAATAAAAGCAGGATTCTCATCTAATAAGAGATAGCAGCAGAGGGATATTGGGTGGCTTCAGAGAATTAAGCTCCTCTATAGGAATTTCTACTGCAACCTTGGTTCAAAATGATAGCAAAGGATGGAAAAGACAGCCCACTTTTAGAAAGAAGTTCGTATAAACATGGACTATGGGGCAGTTATAGCCAGACTGCAATCAATAGCTCATTTGTGCAAAGATCCAGAATTCATAATTGTTGAGTAGGTATTTCTGTATCTTCATTATCCAAGATAACTTTTGAACCCCAATGAGATCCACCATCCGGGTGCTGGCAGTGTTGAGGTGTTTCGGTGCATTTCTAATCAATTCTGTAACTGCTTCTCTGGCCCCTGACTACCTGTCCATCTTCATCACACCCTACTTTCCTCCCTCTTCCTGTGCTTTCAGCTGGCTGGAGCTCTTTTTCTCATCTCCAAGCCTTTGTGCATGACAACTCCTATTTTTAACACACTGCCATAGTTTTGATGTTGAAAGATCCTAAAGATTTATGTGATAAAGTTTTGGTCCCCATGGTGGCTTGGCTTGGGAGTGGCAAGACTTTTAGCAATGGGTCTGATGGAAGCTCCTTCATCACCGAGGACCAGGACTTAAATGAGACTGTGGGACCCTGATTCCTTCCTCTTTCACTCTTCACATCCTGCCTCATGATATAAGCAGTTTGTTCCACTATTTCCTCCCTGCCACTGCCTTCCACCACCCCAGAAGAGCCACCCCAGCAGTGACACTCAAGCTCGGACAGAAGCTCCATGGCTGTGAGCTAAATAAACCTTTTCTCCTCTAAGTTAATCATCTCAGACACTTCATTACAGTGATGGAAAGCTGACTGCTACACCCTGCTGTCAACTTCCATCTTCCTCTGTCTGGATATCTTGCACTCATCTTTAGAGCTCAGCTTAGATGGACGTCATTTCAAAGAAGCATTTCTTGACATCTCCGAATAATAGGTACTTAGTAGTGAACATTTGATGGGTAAATGAAAGATTTATTGAGCATGCCAGCCCTCTTGTCTATTTGGAGAAACAAGAAGACTTTCATTAGAAATCTTCCAAGTCAAATTGAGAAGGTCTGACTGTTTCTCTTTCCCACATCAGCACTCTACACCTTTTCCTATAAGCTCTAGGTAACCATGAAAAAGGATGGGGGGTGACGTGATAAGAGCCTTATCACTCAATTTTATTCCCTTTGTGATGATTCTGTGTGCCGAAGTGTAATAAGAAAAACAAACATGATTACCACTGATCAGACATTTCCAATTACACAAGCAAATTAAGGTTCAATTACTACTGTACTTTTTAATGCAATTAAGGTAATACGTGTTCAGTGTAGATTATGGAGTAGTGTGAGACACAGACATTATGTTTTAATACCTCCTCATTGTACTTGCCTAACTTATACAAGAATGCAGACTTCTCTGACCAGGATGCAACCACATTTGCACTAAAAGAACCCTCATCAGACCTATGCCAACAGTTACTCCATTTGACTGGAATTTGTCATTTTTTACTTTTGAAAGCAGGTCATTTGCACCATCATACAACTCTGAGAACATTCTAGTATCTGCCGAGGCCTGCAAAGAAATAACTCAATATTAGCTCTGTGCATATAGGGCTACTTGTCACCTCATATTTAGCATTTAATTCTTTACTTTGTAAAATATCAAATGATATTATGATAAGGAATTCTTTGAAAAGGCTAATCCAGATTGGTATTCACTAAAATGCATAAAACACAGCAGTGTTAGTGGGTATTTAGTGATATGTTTAAGATAGATATCTATTCTAATAAAAAAAAAAAAAACTATGTTCTAAGTGTGGTCTTTCTGGCTGGTTCATCCTTTCTGGGGAGGGGGCTCGCCTCTAAACCGTGAGGTACAGTGAGCTGTGAGCAGGCTGGGCCTGGGAAGAAAGGGGCAAGGCGAGCTGGCCAGTTATGACCACCTAAGCCAGAGATGGCCAACCTTTTAGAGTTTTCGATGGTAACAAACAGCCAGCTGCGGCATGCATCCCACAGGTTCGCCACCACTGACCTAAGCAATAGTGCTCTCCAGAGCTGTCTACAATGCTCAGTTATTCCAGGCCAGGCACACAACAGGGTTGCATTTCTCAGCTCTGAGGCATGGTCTTGGGCCCTGGAGCCAAGACTATGCCAGAGCTTGTCATTATTTGGCTCTGCAGTCTCGAGAGCCTATGTTGGATGAGTCCCTTGCATCTGCGATGCTGCTTCCTTTCTCCTGGGGATGTACACTTTATAACGGGCAAGACATGGTTGCTTCGGGCCACTGGGACTTGGGAATCCTTTGTGCCCACAGCATAGCCTCAGCCACCCTTTTCATTTTATTATATGAAAAAAACACAAAATTTCATAACAAAATAATACGAGACTAACAAGTTACTACATGGTGTATCATTATCTTCAAAGTAGTTACTCAGTACAAGACATGGACAGAATAATTGTCTCTTACAAAGAAGGAACAAATGAATAATAATATAAAACTTTCTTCTCAGTGAACTAAGAGAAGCTAGTAGTATAAATGAAATAAATTAGCATCTACATTAAAGTATTTTTTAAACAATGGAATAGATAATTTGGTGAACTTCTCCCTGCTTCATATTTATCTATTCTCTTTTTAGCTCTTTGTGTGTGTGTGTGTGTGTGTGTGTGTGTCCATATATTTAGTTTCTAGTCCATCTTGCCTCACACATAGACCATAGGTCATCTTTGAGGTCAGGAAAATGATACTGCATCTTCTAGTTTGGCCTGATATGAGGTTGATTAAGGCAAGGGATGAGGGAAGCAACTTGCTTCAATACAGAGCCCACAAGTCTGCTATCATCATCCATCAATTGTTCTCTCCTATGAAATGTGGGGGTGGACAGGGCATGGCTAGATAACTTCAAAATCCTGTTGTCCTGACATCTATTGTTGGAGACATAACGTATACAATCCATAACCTGACCTTAGTTAGATGGAAAGTAAGAGCTCCCAGAGCAGGGTCTCCATTGACAGGTCTCTCCTGCCGGCTGCTCCCCTCAGGGGGCCCAAGCATGCCTCTGTTCCCTTACTTCAAAGTGGTACTTCAGGCAGTTGTAGGGCTTCTCATGTCTCCGTAGTATAGTCGCTTGCAGTTAGGGTTGGACCCGGAGCTCCCCCCATTGCCCCCTGTACACGGCTTACACTGGCTCCTGTAATACCTGGCATTGTACATGCTCTGTGCTTCTCTCTGGGTCAGGATGTTGTACCTAAGTTGAAGAGACAGCTGCTGGGAAAGAGCTTTGGAAAGGCAAAGACCATAGCAGGTGTCCTCTGAAGGTCATTTTAGCTGCAGCAGTGGTTTCTCCACTGTGTTCTTAGGATTCCTTCAGGTACCTTACAGGTGCCCTGGGAGATCAGGTGATGCTGAGAACTGAGCAGCCTAGGCCTGGGTCCCGTTCCTTCAAGAAGACCATCCAGATGGCTCTATTGAGCATCAGACCAACGTCCTTATGTGGGATCTCAGAGATGAGGAAAGTTAGGGGGTCCAGATTTTACTGCCAAAACATCTTAGGGGAAAAAATCCATCTTTGACTTATCCTTAAATTTCTTTGAGCACTTACCTCTGGACATAAACATCGTTGAGTAATTTAATGAAGAACATATGTAGTTATTAAGAGTCTAAACACAGGAGTCAGTATCCTAGCTCGGCCACTTCCAGCTGTGAGACCACAACCAGTCGTTTCATCTCTTTGCACCGCAGATCAGCCATCTGTAAAAAGCAATCAGTAACACTGACCTCTTCACAGAGTTAAGCCCTGTCAAGGACCATAACCGAGCTCAACATAGACTGAGTACTGAATAAAAGTTGCTACTGTTACTATTCATACTATTTCAGAAAAGGGCTCTGCTACTAGTGATAAAGTTTATGCTGAGTATAACATGCAATGCTCAGGTCAGGACTCCCATGCTCAGAAGGACCGTGGCCTCTGAGGCAGCCTGGACTGTGAGATGAGCAATGTGTGGGTCTGGGAGGCACCTATAGGATTCCACATTTGGCCACTTGCTGTGACTGATTGTGACTTTGTCAATAGAACAAAAACATGAGAGTTGACTAACAGTTCAAAGGCAAAGCCTCTTATGTTATAGATAATGAAATCATTGCTGTCTCTGTCTTCCAAACTCCTACTTTGCTGTTAAGACCCACCTGAGATGTCATCTCCTCTATGTGGCCTTCTTTGAATGCGGGAGGCAATGTCTCATGCATTCAGCATTTACCTTGGGCTCAGCATCCATCACAATTGCTTATGGCACTGTGACAAGGCACAGAGGTGGCACAGGAGCAAGTGATAAATGAAGAAATCCTTCCTCCAATAACAAATGGATACTGCTGCAGCCCCTGATATAGAGCAGGGACTCAGCATATGTTAACTTCCCTTTCCCTTCTTGTTCCCATCTCTTTCTTCCTATTAGTGGAAGTGATGTGTTAATAGCTATGAAGAATTGAATCCACACTAACCTAGACACTTAGCATACATTAACTTTCAACCTCCTGACAATTTTGCAAATGCAGAAACTGAAGCTCAAAAAAATTAAGTAACTTGCTCATAGTCAAAGCTGAACTTTATTTCCCCTGAGATATTTTTGACAGTAACATCTGTGTTCCTTAACTTTATTCAACCCCGTAGTTTCTATCTGCATACTTAGTGAACATGTTTCTGCCTGTAGCTTATAAATGCAGCTTCTATATCAGCCAAACAAAAACTCAAAGCAACAAGGAGCCCTAAGATTGTACTGTATCCACTAAACAATAAAATTAGTGCAAAAGCCCAGTCAAAATAAAATTATAATCAGAGACACTCTACCTTTTGGAAAACTACCATGTAAAAATAATCACATGTGTGTACCAATATGTTTGTATGAAAGTGTTCATTGCAGCATGACTCATAAGAGAAAAATAGGAAAGAATTTCATGCTCTTTCAACAGCAGTCAAATAAGTTATTCTGTAGTTATAGTAGAGTCAGCGAACATTTCTTTAAAACAAAGTAAATATCTAAATAGGGAATACTATGACTATAAGCTTCCCAGGCCATAGATTTGTGTTGCAGCTACTCAGCTCTGCCATTGGAGGGCAAAAGTGGGATTTTAATAAAACTTGTATCTCTAAAATCTGCAGGCTGAATTTTGCCTTCTACTCAGGGTTTCCTGGCTCCTATTGCTCCTGCTGGCAACACTATGTTGCTCAGAAAAAAAGGAGACAGAGAAGCTGGGTGTGGTGGCACAGGTGTCGCCCCAGCTTTCAGGAGGATTGTGAATTTGAGACCAGACAGGCAACAGAGCAACCCTTGTCTCAGGAAAAAAGAAAAACAGTGGGTGTTGCTGTGTGTGTGTGTGTACAGGCATGCATGTGTTTATAAATGCAGAAAGCATCTCTGGACAAATTTTTTAAAAAGAGATAGATGGATCAGGTGTGCTGGCATACACCTTTAATCCCAGTACTTGGGAGGCTGAGGCAGGAGGATCACCATAAGTTTGAACCCATTCTGGGCTAAATAGTAAGTTCAAGGCCAGCCTGAATTAGAGTGACACCCTGTCTCAAAAATCCAAAAAACATCGAGAGAGAGACAGAGAGAAAATATCAGAGGTCTTCAAACTATATTATTAAATGAAAAGGGTAAGTATTAACAGTATGTATGTCATAATCACATTTATGTGAAATTTGCCTACATTTGCTCTAATGTACAACACATATAGATTTGTTTCCACCCAATACATATTCTCAATGCGCTTTTAAAATCTAATCTGGAAATACCTACATCCAGCTGTTGTCAGGAATCAGCCCTGAACAGGGAGTGACAGAGGGTGTTGGGAGAAATACAGGTCCCAGCCTGGGAGTTCAAATACTGTTTCCTTCACAGATGTGTACTGTTTAACAATAACTAAAACCTGGAAACTGGGAAGTGTTTAAATTAGAGAAAAACAGGGTCTGAAGAAGGTTTCCAAGATTTTGGGATGAAGAGTTATCAAGATATCACCTCAGAGGCTGGGGAGAGTTCTTCTGGGTCTGGTGCTGACAGTGAGCAAAGCTGTCGTCCAGGAAGAACGTGTGAAAAGCTCCCGGATGAAGCAGGCAAGAGTGGGGCTGGGTTAGTGGTTGATTGGGCAGGAGGAGAGCTCATTGCATAGCTTGATGCCTCCATGTTCTATGCTTCTCGGCTGTTCTTCGTACTTTAAAATCAATAAGAACCCCCTTCAATTATGTGATGGGCTGAATGTGTCCCCAACACTCACAGGTCAAAGTCCTAGGCCCCATAACTTCAGAATGCGACTGTACTTGGAGACAGAGTCCTTAAAGAAGTAATTAAGTTAAAATGAAGTCGCCAGGATGGGCCTCTATCCATGTGCATGGCGTCCTCCAAAGGTGAAACTGGGGTGCAGACACCACGGACAGAGGGAAGAACGCATGAGGACCGGGGAGGCTGTGTAGGAGTCCAGGAGAGGGCCCAGAGGAAAGGTGCACTGCCAGCATCTTCATCTTCCCCTCTTGCCTCCAGAGCTGTGAAAAAACATTTCTGCTATTTAAGCTTCCCAGCTTGGAGTATTTTGTTATGGCAATCTGAAAGACAGCTCCATGTGCCCATTGTTTTAGATGTGCAAGTCCACGGGCCAATCCCAGCTGCTAGATGGGCTGCGATTGCAGAGCAAAAACCTCTAACAGAGCACACTGCCTGGCAGAGTTCACACCCTTCCCTGAGTGGGCTGCCATGGGGCTGGGCCACAGTGACAATAACCAAACCCCCCATCGCTTTATGTGTAAAGAGCCACATTGATGTGCTCCGTGCAGCTGAAGTTTAGCGAGCAGTGCGGAGACAAGCTCTGACAGAGGCTGAGGTCAGAAGCAAGCCCTGCTCTCAAACAGGGGACCTGAAAATACCAAGATGCCACTCTGAGCTAGGACTAGGTTGGACCTGCAGAAGCAGAGATGGCAAAGAGCTCTTGCCTTGGCAGCATTCCAACCCTGGGGGTGGGTGCATGCTGGGTGGCAGGGTCAGTGAGAGTCTGGGAGCAGTTGGAGGGGGAGAAGCTGGCCCAGGCAGGGTCACAAGCAGGCAGGGCATTGTCTGTCGGCCCTGCCTGGAACGGCTATGCTTGCCAGAATTGGAGTGCTTCGGATGCCTTCACAGTCTATCACCAGCTGCTAGCAAGGACTACAGAAATGGATTTTCTCATGATTCCAGTGGTTGGAAGCTCAAAATTAAGGAACCCTCATGGTTGGTTTCTGATGCCCCACTTCTTCGCTTACTGACAGCTGCTTCTCTCTAGTTCTCACATGGCTTCTTTTCCATGCACATGTGGAAGAAGAGAAATCTGTTTCCTCTTTCCCCTTCTCTTCCTCCTCCCCTTCCTCTTCCTCCTTCTCCTCCTTTTTCTTCCCCCTCATCCTTTCCTCCTTCTCTCTTTCTTCTTCTTCCCTTCCTCCCCTTTTTTGAACACCAATCCTGTTGGATCAAGGCCCCACCCTTGTGATCTCATTTAATCTTAATTCCCTCCCTAAAACCCCCATCTCTGAGTAGTCACCAGGGAAATCAGGGCATCAACATAAGACTGAGGGGAGAGGGGGAGTTCCTAACTCAGTCCCTCAGGCTAGGTAGGGAGCTAGCCAGATTAGAGGTGTGGGGGAGCACATTTCCAAAAGGATGGAACTGAATTTATTAAGGCTCAGAAGAAAAGAGTGATGCAGTCAAGGAACTGGGCCTGAATGTAATGTGAGTGAGGAGGAGAAATGAGAATCAAGGCTGATTCAATCTCAATAGATAACAGAGCTGTAGTGCGGGAGTTGAAACGAGCAATGGCAGAGCAGAGGTTCTCGGTCCTCTCTGCCTCAGAGCAGAGCAGAGCCCATTTTCTTGGCACCATGTCGCAGGCATCAGTGGTGCAAAGCTGACTGTGGTCGGAGCTACGAGGGAGGAAGCTTGTGCCCAGGATGCGACATCTTTTGGAAACTTAGGAAAGGTTTCTTGGAAGATGTGGCTTCGCAGAGGAGCCTTGGAGGTGGAATCGGCCGAAAGGAGAGGGACAGCGGAGTGGGAGGGGAGACAGGAGCAGAGGCCCCTGCTCAGAGACAGAGGATGAGGACCACGCAAGCCACGCTTGGGGACAGTGAGAGTGCTCACAGGCGCAGCCAGAGGAACCCTGCAAAACAGGCCTCTGTGCCCCCAGAACTAATCTCCCCACCCTCTGTCCCCGTGGCCCCTGCCCTCCTTACAGCCTCACTAACTCCCACCCGTAGCCCAGCTCTGGCCTGTCCGCCCTTGCTCAATCTGCCTCCGTCCTGCAGTCCCAGGAATCTCTCTGCAGCACCAGTCTGGCCATCCCATCACCCTCACTCTGTATCTTCCAGGGGCTCCACATCCTTTTCCTTCCAAACACCGCAGCCCAGCCCCCAGGTACCTGCCTGACCCCAGCTCCTGTCCTCCTTTCCAAATCTCTGATGCTGCGAATATCCTGGAACGGATTGACAGTTCCCTAATCCCCATGTTTTGCATGTAAAACTTCTATTTTCTTTCCCAAGCCTCCGCTCACATGCCACATGGAAGCCTGCCTTGGCACGTCCCAGTGAGGCCCATGCAACTGTGAGCACATGCCCATTACAATGGCTATTTCAGGGCATTGTCATCGATTCCTCATTCTTCTCCCAAATGGACTAGGAGAACCTAAAGGTCAGGGGCAGTGTTTCCATCTTTGTTTTAGCAGCACGTGGTATACTCCCTGGCACATAATATGTGTCCAGTAAGTGCTTGCTCAATGAGTGGATGAATTGCACATTTTCTAAATGACTCAGCAAGAGTTCCTACAGACTTGAATCAAAATGACTTGGGCTTCTGGCTTGGTTTAAAATATAGGTTCCTAGGCTCCATCTCAACCCTGCCAAAAGGAAACCTCTAGGGGAAGGGGTTACAGTCTGCATTTTAACAGGATCCCTGGGGAAGTGCTTTGTGTGGTAAGTTTGACAGGCATAGCTGGTGCCCCCCTGGAATGCGACTCACCTGTCTCTTTACACTGGAAATCTTGTCCACACCGTGGTTGCCTTAGACAAGGTGTAGGACTATTGCAGCTGGCTTGGTCCCACACATCACCACTGCAGATGTTTCCCCCAAACTTGTCTGGCTGGAAGAGGCTCCCGTATCAGCACTAAATCAGATTGTGAACCAGACACATTCTTGTCAATCAATTGAGATTTGTGCAAGCAGGTCTCAGCTCAACATAAGGAGTAGTGTCTGTGATTGAGAGCTGCCTACAAAGCTGTCTTCCACATGACAGATGTGCACAAGCAGTGGTGTGCCGCCAGAAGTGGCATTGTCACCAGCTGGCATACTGAATAAGAACTCCCAACAGCCAATGACAGACTGGAACGAAGACCTTTCAATAGGAAGACTGCTGAGAAGGATCAGTAGTCTACATGTATCTTTCAAGACTCATGGTTGTCCTCTCCTGGATGGGCTTCCCAACTCAGCCACATACCCTGCAGTCTGTGTGCTTCCCTCTCACCCAGCACTTGACATATGTGAAAGAGCCTCCACTGTTGACCCATTGCTCCCACCAATCTCTGAGCAACTTGCACACGGGGTTACAGGCAGCGAATGAAAGACTGTGTCCTACTTAGCCTCACATATCTGGCACTTGACCAACTAGTGTCAAGTACACCTTTAGGAGACATTTCTTCTGATCATGGCATGCCCTTTCCTTGGGCTATGTCTCCTGTAGTTCCAGTGGGGCTGACTTCACCCCTGCAGTCACAAAGATGGGTATTAATTGGGCTGGGCCACCAGGTAGGCACACCTGCCTAGTTGCAATGATTGCTTTAATCCCTTGGGTATTTTGATTTTTGGAAAGAAAGCTTCCTAAGTTGCAGGGAATGCGGGCATCAGGTGGTCACCTTGCCTATTCTTCAGAAAAAGTCCACCCAAGAATGGAGAAACCGGAATGCCGAAGTCATAATCTGAATCCCTGGGTCTAGTGTTGACTGCAGATGAATACATATTGGTTGATGGAAGGAAGAGAAGAATTAAAATGCACACTGGCCTTGGGACTTTAGGGTTTCATAGTAATGTTTTTATACAGTGTTTGATATCAGGTCCAGTAGAAAAGGAGGAAGATGAAACTAGGATTATTCCGAGAAATCTGAGGTCCCATCTGTACCTTCAGATAATTACAGTCTAGTCAAGGAGATAAAATGTAATAATACAAAACAAGCTGTGCAGAGATTATCCATACAGAGAGTCCAGTAAGAAAATGTGTGGCCCTGTGTTGCCCACTGGCCTGGATGTTGGTTCAGCCCCACAAGCCCTTCCTGCAAGAATGTTAGCGTTTAAGTAAGAAAGCCATGAACCGAGCAGCAGTGAATCCCTGACTTAAACCTACCCTTCACTTGCTGTGTGAAGTATTCGTTTCTGGTACTTTGTACCGCTGTTTCCATGCCTTTAGTGTAAGATGCTGGCCCGGATGACCTCACTGATTGCAATGACTGATGATTCCTTCACTTTTGTCCTAAGCTGACAGAACCTGGGAATTAGTGGGCTTCAGTTCAGATCCTAGATTTGCTCACCTACCGACAGCGAGCAGGTCACTTACATTTCCTAAGCTTCGTTTCCTACTGAGGGGACTGTGTGAGACCTAAGTGGCAGAAACGTGGGAGGGAGCCCGTGGCCCTGTGCCTGGTAGATCGCTGGCATCTAATCGCTATCCTTACTCCAGATGATTCCAGTGAAAAAGCTGGAGAGAAGGGCAGTGTCCTTCTGCTCCTAACCTGTATTAGACCATTTTCTTTTGCCAAAAACACAAAACCACAGACATGGCAAATTATAAAGAAAGGAGGATTAATTCCATTTATGGTTATGGAGGTACAAGGTCCAGGCTCCTTATCAGGAAGGGGGTGGCTCTTTTTCTGGCAAAGCCCCAAGATGATGGTACAAAGCAGGATATTTACATGGTGACAGACAGAAAGTGTGTGTGTCTGTCTGTCTCTTATTCCTATAAAGCCACTAGATTCAATGATGGGTGCTCCACACAAGTGACCTAACTGAAGCCTAATCACCCCAAGGCTCTACCCTGAAACGTCATATTTGAGTTAAGCCTCTACCATTTTAATATCTCATCATGGGAATTAAACTTCAGCACTGAAGACTTAGGGGGCCCTCAGAGCATATTCTCACCATAGCAGTCCTGCTTCTCTCTACTTAGCTGCTCACTGGCAAAGAGGCAAAGGAAACAAAACGAGGTGAGAATGGGACCTCCTTTCCTGCCTTTCAGTTAACAGTGCTGCTCTGGTCAGAAGTGCAAGGAGATTTTAACTAATGACCAATGATGAATCAGTAATCAATTTAATTAATTAATGACCAACTTGGGCATCTCAGGTATCTTTGTTAACTGTGGTATGTCAGCTTGGCTTAAGAACTGCCTAGATTAGTAAAGCTCTGGCTGTGTCTGTGGATGATGGATTAGTAGGGCACAAAGTGAGGATTGAGACCACCCTGGGTGTGAGTGGCACCAACCAATAGGCTTGTAGCCTGAATGGAATAAAAAGGGAAAGAAGGAAGAAGTCTTCCCTTTCATCTTCAGACTTTGCCATTGCTTTTGGGCATTTGTATCCGGTTCCTTCAGCCTTCCAGCAGATACTTCCTCAGACACTCCTCAGCAGACCCTTTGGCTTTCCAACATGGATACACACTGGCCTGTGCAGTGAGCTCTAGGCTTGTGATCTTCCACTGGATCCTCCGACCTCTAGCATACAGATAACCATTTTGCATTCTTGTACCCTGGATTCCATGGGCGACCATTGTAAATAAATCCATATATATATATTATACTAAATCTGTGCCTTTAGTGAACCCCAGCTGATATATCAGAATATTTTCACTTTCTCCCCACAAGCCTGTCCCTCAGTGTGCAAACGAGGGAGTGACGAATGTTCACATGTAGAGTATATTCTCTTTCTCACTTTCCAAGTTTATTGGCTTTTTCACTGATGTAGTTACCCACAGGATGACAAGGGCAGTGAAGCCACCTTCGGTGCTTATGGTGGCCACACACTTCACCTTCTTCATCTCACTTTCTCTTCACAAGTGCATGAGGCTACCTGCTGTTGTGAATCCCATTTTAAACTGGCTTAGAGCTCCAGTTTTGCCCCTGACTGTACAGACTTTGCTGGGTGAGTCAGTTGGTGTCTCAGGCCCTCAGTTTTCTCATTTGTAAAGTGAGGTGTATGTGAGTGTCACAAGATGAGCGGTCATACAGGTAACAGCATTCACATGCTGCCTGGCCGGGGCGTACCTCAGGAATGGTAGTTATCAGCACCATTGCCATCCCATACCAGCTGCAGGGCAGCTCCAGAAGGAAGTGCATTAGGTGACTGTGATGTCATTTGGCATTTTGCTTGTTTTTTGAGACAGGGGCTCACTACATAGGCTAGGCTGGTATTGAATTCATGATTCTCCTGCCTCAGCCTCTGAGTGCTGAGGTTAACCTCCCAGGGCTTTGGAAGTGAACCGACTAAGATTCAAATCTAGGCTCTGCCACTTTAATATGTGACCTACACAAAGTAGATGAGGGCATCTGTCCTTTTCAGTTCACAGAACACGTCCAACTACACAATCTATTTATTTAAAGCATTAGTGCCATGCCTGGTCCATAGTACATATTTGATAAATGGCCACTGCCAGAGCCATTATCATCCCTCCTATGCTTGGAACTGATGCTGTAGGCCTTCAGGTTCATTTCCATCGGATCTCTGCTCTCTAGGTTTCTATCGAATAATGAAGATCTGGGGCCCCAGGCAGGTTGGTGCTGATACTCCTGTGGGAATCTGCCACGCTTCTGCCTATGGTCAATGTCATTATGACATAATTTTCTTTTCTAGTTCATAGATGATGTTTCCTTCCAGAGCTGTGCATCTTTGGGTGATTTTTAGAGGCAGAAGCACATTAAAGAAAAGAAACTCAGGTGGTCTTTTAGTTAAATATTAACCGAATTTAATTATCTTAAGATTGCTTTAAAGACACACGTGTCTTTTTGAGTCACTAAAGAGATAGTTTAATTCTGATTTAAACTGTAAGCAATTCACTTGTGGTACCTGCTATCTGAACTGAAACACATGAGAAAAAATTGAGTTTAGAATGTGTAATAGGTTGAATAATGGCCACACAAGGATATCAAATCCTAATCTGCAGTATATGTAAATGTGTCCTTGTTTGGAAAAAGGCTCTGCAGACAGAATGAAGGTCTTTGAGATGTGATTGCCTTGCATTATCTGGGTGACCCTAAATGCCACGCCCACATCCTCACAAGAGGAGAGCGGAGGGAGATCTGGGGGACATGCAGAGGAGGAGAGGCAGGGTGACCCTGCAGCAGAGAAGGAGCGAGGAGGCACAGGCTAAGGAGGAACAGCAAGAGACCAAAAACAGACTCCCCACACCCTCCAAAAGGGAATGTAGGCCTGCTGACACTTCTTCAATTCAAACTCCTGGTCTCCAGACTGCGAGAGGATACATTTCCATTATTTTAAGCCCTGAAGTTCAGCACATTTTGTTACACCTGACTTGGGAAAAGGAAGCGGGTTTCAGGAAAAAATGAGAGTTTGAGGGTCAGAAACCTTAAACAATGGCAGTCCAAGGGCCTCTAGCATTTTTCACGGATGAAGGGAACCAAACAGTAATTTCAGACTTTGAAGCTGAAGAAACTAGGTCCAAATTGGGTTTCCACCACTTTCTAGACCTGTATATTTGAACAACTCATAAAAGACATCCACAGAGCAACTGTGGGTCCGGCCGAAGCCTGGGTCTGGAGGGAGGCCGGCCCTCCGCAGAGAACAGGGCTTGGCCCAAGGTCGTGGAGGCAAGCCAGAGAGGAGGGCACTGACGCAGAAACAGCTCCATGCTTCTCAAACACGTGCCATGTCTCCTGTACTTTGCATGCGTCAGTCATGTAATGCTCAGGATAACTCTATACTTCAGGTACTGTTACTACTCCCATCGACAGATAAGGAAACTGAGGCACAGTGAGCATAAAACATGCCCAAGTGATGCAGCAGATAGGAGGCAAAGCCAGATCTAAGCTGCAGAACCGATGCTGAAACACGTGAACTTTACACTAGTGGCCAACAGACGACATAAGGGCAGTGGGTGGCTACAGTGAGGAGGGACATGGACACAGCCCACCTGGGCCACCACCATGAGCCAGTGGGAGGTAGGCTGCTGTCTAGCATCGCTGGGAGCCAGTGCTGCTAAATGGAGTTAGACATTTAATCCTGCTCCTCACCAGAGCAGAGGGCTCCCAAGGTCCCCCTCCCCTTCATCCGCCACGGGGTGAGGGTCCACTTCAGATCATTCAAAACCTCTGAGAGGAGCAAGACAGAACTTGCTCTTTCCCTGGGTGAGTGTGCCAGTACATGGCTGCGGCATGCCCAGACCCCTCTCACATTCAATTTTGTTACTCAGCTGGCTGTGAGCCATGTAGCATCTTGTTACTAAGCCATCTTCAGACCCTCCAGGTGGTCTTCACTAGAGGGCAGCAGGTTGGTCAGAACCCAGGAAGGCCACTGGGGACAAATGTGCCCATACCCAGTGGCTGCTCTTCTGCCTGTAGCACACACATTGTTCACAGCCTCACCCGATAATACCTCATAAACCACTCCAGGAGAGGCAGAAGCAAGAGTCACCATCCAGGCGCCCCAGAGCCCCCAATTCCTATTTCAAGGTACTTTCCCTGGAACTCTACAGCACCAGTTACTTATCTCCATTGGAATTCCTAGTCCACAGATCAAGTAAGAGATTCTCCCCAACTGACCATCAGTGCTTTACCTTTCTGTCCTGGCGTGGAAAGCAATCGCCCACTCTGACCCATCACTCAGTGGACAGGAAACTGCTGCAGAGACCATGGCTCGACTTGCTTTCCTAAATACGACAAAGAGCCCTGCATTGACTCTGAAGTGCAAAATTTAAGCAAAGGAGAAAGCTGTGCATATTTTCCTGCTGCTAAGGGGAAAGGAGGAATAGACATTTAGTGTGCTTTCATTATGTGCAAACATAGTGCAGGGTGTATGTGCAGCATCCCTTTCACACTGTATCCATTCCAAACAGATCAAACGACTATTGGTTTTGGAAGGTGCATACTGAGAAGAGCTAGCATTCTGAAAAACCAAAGTACAGAGGACAGTGGTCAGAAGCATGTGGTCCAGGGTCAGATGACTGAGTTTCCATCTTACCTCCTTGCTGACTTTAGAAACCTCATCAAGTTATTTAACCCCTCTGAGCTAGTTTTCCTATCTATAAAATGATGTTAAAAGTAACATAACCCAGAGCCAGGCATAGTGGCGCACGTCTGTAATCCCAGCACTCAGGAGGCCAAGGCAGAAGGATCATTGTGAGTTCGAGACCAGCCTGAGCTACAAAGTGAGCTCAAGGCCAGTGTGAACTCCATAGAGAGGGACTGTCTCAAAAAAAACCAAACAATCAAAAAAACATAACCCAAGTCAGGTGTGGTGGAGCATGGCTGCAATCCCAGTATTTAGGAGACTGAGGCAGGAGGATAGCCTCAAGCTCGAGATCAGCCTGGATTACGTAGTGAGTTCATGACTGACTTAAACTACATAGAGAGACCCTGTCTCTCACATGCTAAAAAAAATTACCTAAAGGAGTTATTGAGGGCTGGGGATATAGTTCAGCAGTACAGCACCTGCCTGGCAAGTGCAAGGTCCTGAATTCGATTTCTAGTACTGAAAAAAGAAAAAAGGAGTTATTGAAAGGATGCTAAAATGCTTATGAAGTGTTTACTAAAAGTTGACTTTAAGTATGAGGTGTGATCAAAAAATAAGGTGAATGTTTACAGTTTTGAAAAATGTTTAAATATATTTTAATAAAAGACACGTTGTCATTAATCTCCCTCAAAGTACTCTCCCTGGCTTCAAACACACTTATCTCATCCTTCTTGTTACTTTCTAAAGCAGTTCTGGAAGTCCTGTTTCGTGAGTGTCTTTCCTTGACTACCTTGATGCCCTGAATCAATTCAAAATGTTTATGACAAATTTTATCAAATAAAAACATTACAGTGTTTCCTTATCCACCTTATTCACCAGACTTGGTACTTCTGGCTCTCCCCCAAAGTCAAAATTGGTACAAAAGTTAAACAATTTTGATCAGTTCAGGATAGGAGGCAGCCACAACCGCATCACTAAAGACCCTCATAAAGAGAACTTCCAGAACTGCTTCAGACAGTAGCAAGAAGGACGGGATACGTGTGTTGATGCCACAGAGAGTATTTTGAGGAGAATCAATGGCAATGTGTCTTTTACTGTAATAAGTTTGAAAAGTTTAAACATTCACCTTATTCTTTGATCATATCTCACATTACATGCTGGAACATTACCTGAACAATGCCATGTAGTCACTATCACATACTGGGAGGTAAATATGATTAGCCCTACTTTAAATATAAGGAGTTGAGATTCCTAAAGTGAAGGAAACCTTGCAGTCATTGATCAGGGATGACAGAAGAAAAAGTTGAACAACTGGTTCACTTTCTGCTCCCCCTCCTGCCGTTGCCTGGTTTGCAGATCGGAAGAAGGTAGACACTGGCTGCCCCAGTGCTGTGAGCTTCTTCTAGCCCATGCTGCCTCCCCCAGATACAAAGTTCCCCAGGTCACTTGGGGAAGAGTCCACAAGCTTCCCACCCCAGCCTCCTTCCAAGCACCCTGCCACTCTAGCACCACAGAGCCAGCTCACCCAGGGGCCCCAGGGGGAAAGTGGTTCTTTACCAGCTGAACAGATAGCCACAGCCTCCCTCTGGGAGCCAGGCACCCTGGCTAGGATCAAGAGCACAATTTTCTCCCTAGTTTAGAGGAATTGCTTCAAATTTCATGCTACTCGGGCAATGAACTGCTACTTATGATAAATGACAATACTGAGGACAAAACCCTCAGCAAAAAGGCATGAAACAGGCAGGGAAACTATTTTGTCTTTCACACTGGTTCTCAAACTTGCATCTCAGCACCCCCTACACACTTCCTCACCATTCAAGATCTCAGCAAGCTGATAAGTGGACTGTGTCTGCTGATATCCACAGAATTCAAAAGAAAAACTGAACTTTTTAAAAAAATTATTAATCCACTTTAAATTATAATAAGCCCGTTACACATTATCATAAATAAGACAACTTTATTTAAAAATATTTTCAAGGTAAATAATTAGTGTGAAGAGGAACATTATTTGGTGTTTCTGCAAATCTCTTTAGAGCCTGGTTTAGCAGAGAGCAGCTAGAGTGTCAGTCCTGCTTCCTCATTTAGTCTCTTGCTACATGTTGTTTTAAAGGATGTCATTGAAAGAAATCCAGCCTCACACCATCATGGAGTGGGGCAGAGAAGACTGTCCTCACCCCCTGTTCAGATTCCTGCGGATATTTTCTTTGGTATTACAGCAAAATGTGACCAGTGGGAATTTCTCATATGATAAGTGCAATGTGGAGCCTGAACGTGTGTCAGTCATACTTCATGCTTAGGTTCAACAAAGTCCATTGGTCTGGGTACACTCAAATGGATCTTGCACCCCTGCATGATTTTTTTAACGTCATGTACTAAAAATTTAGAAAATAACAGCTTACTGGGAATGCCTATATTATCAATATTTACACATTCTACCATACAACAGTAAAAAAATCAAACTTCTTAATATCACCAGTGATCTCACCAAAGGCATGGTGGGGATAACTTTCACGTTTTCATGAAAGCTCAAATTTTTGTTATTGGTAACAAATAATGTTAACCTGTTTTTCTTGAAGTGACAGGCTCTCTATATGCTTTGTGACAATGTATGCCAAATATCTAAAAAACCATAATTTCTCTGGCAGATATTTTTCCAAAGTAAAAGAGTATTCTGGACTTAGTGTTGATGTGGCCCTGAAATGGATATGTTGAAACCTAAACCCCAGTGTGATGGGATTCGGAGGCAGATCTTTGGGAACTGATTAGGTCAGGAGAGTGAAACTTTGTGAATGGGATTAGTGTCCTTACTAAAGAGATCCCAAATAGCTTCCTCACCTCTCCTGCCTTGTGAGGACCCAGTGAAAAGACAGGAAAGGCACCCTCTCCAGACACTGCATCTGCTTGTGTCTTGGTCTTGGGCAACCAGCCTCCTGAAATATGAAATAAAAAAGTGACTATAACATCCATATAACTTGTATTTCTGCCACCAGATTCTAAGCCCTATGAATGCAAATACTGTCTATATATTTGGTACTAAAACCCCACCACCCATCATCAGCAGTTTCAAGGAAAATGCTTGGTAAGTATTTATGAAAGAGAAAAAAAAAAAACAGAATGGAAGAAAGGGGAAAAATAAAATCAGTTTTGGGGAAATAGCAGTGACATTGTTGAGAGGTTTGTTTGAACCTGATTCCTTGTTAGAATCTAATTAAATAGACTTGACATCCAGAAATTCAAATGACTCAAGGTTTTGTCCTAGATGTCCTTTTTCTGATAGACTGTGCTAATAATAAAAGTATGGTGCATGGGGACATAGAGAAAAAGAAGGATTCTAGAGGTAAGGTGCAGGTTGAAGGTTTGGGAATGGAGAAGAAACCCGAATTAGTTCTGCATCTCACTGTAGAACTGTCAAGACAATGTCATTAGAAACCCACAGAGACTGCATTATGATGTCAAAATAGAAGGAAACAGTATTAATAGATGGAAGCAAAAGCTAGACAGAGCAGTGCTGTGTTGCTATAGTTTTAAAAGCTTTGTGACATGATGTCTAGACAGAGGTACACACAGTCGTACTATCACTTAGGCCAAAGTACAGAGGTCCACCAGGGCCATTCATTAAATCATTATGGGGCTCCAGCCTTCAGCTGCTATCAAGGTGGCCAACATTTCCTCTGTAATTTCAAAGAATTTTTAATGCACTTTACTTTTTATGATTATAAAAATAATGCAATCTCATTAAAGAAAACAATGATTATGAAAGAAAGATTAACTGAAATCCTGTACTTTGTTATTGTGATGGCTTGTATCCAGACGTCCTTGCAGAGCCTCAGGGGCTCATAGGTGGGGCTTTTTGAAATTGGCTGGATCTAGAGTATGTGACTATTGATTAAGAGTATGTGGTAACTGGATTGGATTAACATAGTTCCGCGTGTGGCTGAACAGATTTACTGAAAATGGAAGCACCCCCCTGGGTGTGGATGATGCCCATTAGTAAGTTTATACCTAGGTAGAATGTAAAGGAAGACAGAGAAGGCAGGCTCATTGCTGCTTTCCTGCAATTCCTGCCATGGGCTGTTTTTCTTCTGCCTGCTGACTAGGGAGCCAGACAACTATGGACTGAAACCTCTACAAACTGTGAGCTAAAATAAGCCTTTCCTCCTTTAACACTGGGTGTCAGGTATTTTGCCTCAGCAGTGAGAAAGTAATTGAGACAATTATATTTTCCTCTAATCTTTCTTTTAATATTCTAGTTGAGATCACACTGAGTATAACATTTTACATACTAATTTTTCCACTTAATAGTAGAGCAGAAATGTAAACTACTTACAACTGCACATTTTCCATTTCCTTCATATGAAATGAATAGATTATTGACCCCCCAGTTTTACTGTACTGAGTTTTTACTCAAGAATATATCCACAGAGTGAGATAACTAATATTAAGCTTATAACACATATTGCCAAATGACTTTCCAAAGGAACTGTATCCATTTTTAAATTACTTAATGCTATAGTTTAGAGTGGTTCATTCCCCCACAGCTTCACATGCTGGAGGTTTGGTCTCCAGTGTGATGGTGTGAGGTGGTGGAAGGTAATTCCATCATGGTGGTACCTCCTTCAGGAAGGGATTAATCCTATGTCATTAATAGGAAAGAGGGCAGAATGTGGGGTGGCTCATTACAAGGACAATGAGTCTCAAAGTGATGAAGGAATTGAGGTAGAGAGGAAATCTGTGATGAATTTTATATCTTGTAATCACATCAAGGTGCACCACCATCTTGAAGCGATTAGATTCTTTAAACCATTCCATGTGGTAGAAGTGAGTGATAGAAGTGAACTAGTTCCTGTGAACATGGGTAATTATAAAACAGCAAGCCTGGCCCCTTCCTATCGTCTCACTTCCTGTTTTGTAGTGTTTCCCCTCCCACATCTGCTCTCACCTAATGTTCTCTGTCATGTTGTGATGTAGCTAGAAGCCCTCACCAGAGCCAAGCAGATGCCAGCACCATGATCTACAGCCAGGAGTCAAACAAATTTCATGTTTTATAAAGTACCCAGCCCTACATATTTTCTATAGCAACACAAAATGAACCAATACACTTAAAGGTCCATTAACAATTCTGTAGCCTAGAAAATATTGGCAAATATTTTAAAGCATTTTCCAGCTAGTGAGAATATACTCAATTATTAGCTATTTAATATAGAGCACTGGGATTCAGGAGCATTTGAGTCTAGTCTTTTAGTTTGCTTCTAACTTGCTCTACCACCAGATAGTTTGACTATCTGGATTTTAGTATTTTTATCTTAAAAACTGCACAAGTCAAGATACAGTTGTTGCAGATTTTTTAAAATGTACCCTAAGGGGTATTAGTTCTTGAAATATGCACACAAGACAGGGAGAAAGAGAAGAAAATTTCAATGGTGAACTTAATTTGTAAAAACTGCTTACATGTAGCATTCTAGGAAATTTAAAATACCTAACTCTATTAAAAGCTCTTAGAAGTTCTGCATCTTACTTTACATGATCTAGCATTTCCCCTCACTTTTGAATACAGATCATTTCTTCATGCAATGTCTGCATGACCACATAACACAGCAGAAAGGGGTTCAGAGTCTACCAAATATGCCTTTGAACTCAGTTTTTGATACTCACTGAGCTCTTACAGCTGAAAACCAGGGATAATACCTTGGGGGACTACTTTGAATACTGAGTGAGGTCGTGTATGTAAAGCCTGAGCAGAAGCCTAGGACACATGTTAATTTCCTCTCCCTCATTATCTCTCCCCCACACATGCTCATCAAATCCCTCCATCATCACCAAGAATGTACTCTGTGTAAGGCTGTGTACTAGTGAAACACTTCTCATCTATTTTTTAACATAAATTGGTATCTTGGGCAAAGGGCCTAAAATCTAGAGTTGGGTACATTATAAGCTTCAAGTCAATTATTGACCCCAGAATATGGCTGCTTCTGCAATTTAGACAACAAAATAAGTAATGTAACTATCCGTCTTAACCTAGCAGGTCGGAAAGCCTGTCTTAGATTATTGCCAGAGGTCTTCCTAATACATTGGCTGTGTTTGTACTCATAGCTGATTATCACTAACCATATAACCTTGAACCAGTCCCCTTCAGTTACATAGGAATTACAACATGAAATGCAGAGATTTTACATTTGACTTGAAAGTGCTCAGTCTTCAGCAGCCTCTACTGTTAGCCACTATCTTCTTCATGAAAACTTTCCAGGCTTAAAGCCGTCCAGCACCATGCTTCCTTGTCTCTTCTACCTCTTTGGCCAATTCTTTTCAACTTCTCTAAAAACTGGAATTCCTAAAGGTGCACTCTTGCCTTTCTTTTCTTATCATCTGCTGTCCTCACCCTTCAGAAGGTGAGCTTCATGCTGTGGCTTTATAGACCATCTGTGCTGATGCCTTCTAAATTTAGATCTCCATCCCAGACCACTCCTCTGTAACCCTACCTTGTTTATCCAACTGCCCCATTTTACATCTCTGCTAGTGGCCTCTCATGCACAGAAGGCTTTATGGCCCCAAGTCTAAACCCTTAATTGATTCTCCTTCAACCAAACCCTCTCTCCACTCTCCTAACATCATGCATGGAGCCACCATGCACACAGATGCTTCAAGCCAGATACCTGGCGGTGATCTTTCATTTCTTCTTTCCTCACTCTCATATCCCATCCCATCTCATATCATATCCCATCCCTCAGAAATTCCTGTCAATTTTGCCATCCGAATGTATCTCAAACATCTTCCCTTCTGCCTATCTCCACTACTGCAAACTAATGTAATTCACCACTATCGCTCACCCAGCTCATCTGGGGTGTCCCCTGCGACCTGACATTCTACATCACTTTCCTCTAACCCATTCTCTGCACAGCAAATAGGATGATATTTTTTTCAAAAACTGAGACCTCAAATAATCCAGAGTTTTTCCGTGTTTTGTTTATTATCACACAGAGACTAAATCCAAATTTCTCATCGCAATGCCCTGTGTGATCTCTGTGCTCTCTGCTCGTCTATAGACCGACCCAGGCCCTGCTCACCTCTCTGACACTCTCTTGCTTACACACTGCATCCCCCTACTCCACATGTGTGGCTGACCACTTCCCTCTCCCTTCTCAGGGTTTCTCCCCACCCTCCTTGTAAATGTGTCCTCCACAGAGAAGCCCCTAACCAGTCTCTCTTTGGACAACTCTATTTCCTATCAAAGGACCCCATTTGATTCCTTATCATAACCATTAATGAAATTTGTTGTTTACATGTTTACAATACATGCCATCACTACCTTATAAATTCCACCAGGGTAGGAATATTATCTGCTTAATTCAATAGCTACCATCAAGCATACCTAGAATATTTCTGTACTAAATGAATGACAGAAAGAATGCAAAACAGGGGGCCTTCAGTGAGCCAGGCACACATAGAATTTCATAGGCCAACATGTGGCAACCTCTAACTGCAGTATTTGACGATGCTTTTTCTTCCATATCAACGTCCCAATGAGCCCTCATTCACCTGCTGAAACGTCTCACTTTAATTTGATTCCTCTGGACATCTTTCCTGGACCTGCCTGCCCTGTGCCAACATAGTACCAAGTACATAGGCCTTCTCATACTTTACCCCCACACTGAACGTCTGCAGGGGAGAGATCATGACATACTGTTCACCACTGTGCACCAAGGCTGAGTACAGTCCCTGTATGTAGTAAGAACTCAGTAACAAAATTTGTGTTATGAGTATATTACCTCATTAAAATTTCACAATAACTCTGTGGGGTAGAGATTATTATACCCATTTTATAGATCAAATTGTTGTAAGCAACTGAGTTAGAAATATTATTGGCTGTCAGACAGGACTAGACCCTCAAAATGAGCCCATGCAGAAGATGAGATACCTTACAACTGTGGGAGAG